AGTAGTTTGTTTTTAATAGAGTTTGCCTTTGACTCAGGCACGCTGGAGCATATCATCTACATCGAGTTCGTTGTCTTCTTAGAGTTCGTATTTTGGATAAGAGAGAGCCTCCTTTTACTGGCGGCGTGGTGGGCGGTCTTCTCGGAGGCGCATTGGTATTCGTGTCATCTCTAACACTCATTGGAGTAGTTGCAGATATGCCCACTAACCTTGCCCTGGGTTTGCATGCAGCGACGACGGAGACGTAAGTTGTCAGACTTTCGGCAGTGCAATAGGGTATCATGTGAGACAGACATACTCCCGGGAGAAACCACTGCAAAATTGGGGTTGCCGGGATTGACAGACCCTGGCTGTTAATTCTGGTGGTTGGGGTTGCTGGATTTATGCTGTTAACTATAAACTGGTTTTGGGTATTCTGCTCCACGTTTGAACATATATTTGGGCAACGGGAATCCAGTTCCGATGCAGCTGGTTCCGATGTGACCGCTAGACCAGCCGTCGCACACTGCACAATAGCTGACAGTTTGTCACATTTCTGAGCCAGTACGGTGATGCACCTTACGACTGGGTTAATCATACAGTTTGTGCAGAACCAAGTGGAGTCTGGTGTGCATTGTAGTGCTTTCCCTTTCTCTACCCTTAAATTTACGCACCAGGGATGGTATTTTTACTGCAGCCACTACATTTTACTGCAATTCGAATAGTCTTGGAGCACGATTTCGAATGGCAAAGAACTTTTGTCTGCGGCTGAGTGGACAGTGTATACATGGCTTTCCTTGTTGCTGTCTTGAGAGGCATTGACGAGGCCTCAGTGACGTGCGCAGCTTGCGATCTTCGAGCGTGTTGTGACAGCCACACATTGTCAGTTGACAATAATCTACGAGTGCGACCACAATTGCGAACAAAGCCGGCTGAGGTCGGTGTGCGAACTTTTTGGTGTGGGACGTGGCCGGCTAGATATGAATCAGGCCGGGTTTAGGCTGGTCAGCAGCTTAGATGGGCGCGGTAGAATTTACCTTAGTTTGACGAGTGTTGGGATGATAGCTGCTAAATGTGCTGCAGCTATCAAACGGAGTGTCCGATTCTTGTGGTAAATGAATCGCTGGATAGCGCTAAGAGCACTTTAAGGAAAGAGGTTACAAATTATGGTGTGCACTCGGAAATAAGATTGATACGAGCCTGGATAGCTATGAAAATCCAATTGAAATTGCATTAATGGATGCAACGATGATATGTGCTAGACAATCCTGCAGCGGTAGGTCCACTGGATAGCGTTGGTAAATCCGAGCTGGAGTGTAAGAACAGTAAGTTGCTGCGAGAATTGTGAGTGGTAGATCCAAAAACAGAGGAGCGTCGATTCACTACGACCACGCGACGTGAGACACATTTTTCGACGTGAGACATACATGTTAGTCTTGGTTCACCGTAGTGCTGTGAGTTTGTGTGATGGCAACGCGTGTCAAATTGACGGGCTTAGTTACCATACCTATGATATCACATATGTAGGTTCACTGGTTCACATCATCGAGTTGTTTTCGTTTTAAGGAATTTGACGTTGACTCTGAAACGTTGGTGCACATTATCGATGGTACACTATGTATAGCTCGGATTGATGTCAGCCGCCCAACTGGTGTGCATACAACCGGTGGAGGCTGTGGAAGTACAACTGCGTCTTCTTCATTTACCTTAGGCCCAGTGCGGTTAACTGAGGACCTAAGTTTCCCGTTGGTTTTGGCAGAAATCATGTTCCAACTAACAACAATGTGGACGTCCTTCTGAAATTTTGGAACAGTTTGGAGCGTGGATGAGGACCTGACCAAACTTATTCCAATTGAACTGGCGGTGGTTGTTTTTGGCGTATTTGGGCAGCTGGTGGCGTTGACTTCAAAAGTCACAGGGAACGCATTTTTGATGCTCTACCCAGCATTCTTCCACTGTTTTGCAGCGGAGCCAAGTGGAAAGTTCCGGGGTTTGCTCAAGGTCAAACTCAAATCAACTGAATCAACTGGTGTTCCTCATTTCTTCAATGATTGCCAGCAGTCTTTCGTGTTTCTGTGCTAGTTCATGCACAATCTTTACCAGTGGAATAACCATGTATACTTCACAGAATCATAGAGAATCTGGTTTACTATTATGTATCTTAAGCTGGCTCACTGTGATCTTCGCACATTTAAAATGGAACGCTTCGGCAGTTCCCAAGTCGAATTCCGTTTCGTACATTTTTATGGTATGAAAGAAAGCCTTGGTGAAGCATAAGGGGCAACTGTTGACTGGTCATCAAAAACCATGGCGTCGACCGATGCCCTTTGTATCAGTGGTGTGCTTGTCTATCTGACTCGGTATTTTCAAGGTCAACGCGTTCGGCGCGTGCACGGCTGGCAGACTAGGATTGAGTGGATGGATGGTTTGCACGTTAACCGCTGAAATTTAGATAAAGCGAGTAAGCGATGGGGACACAAAATGTCGGATTGCTAATTCGCTTAGCGGTCGACAGCTATGGTTGAAGGCTCGTCGTGTAGATCGCTGAGTTGGCTTTCGTTTGAGACCAAAAATATTATTTCGTTGTTTGGAATTCGGAAAATTTCTCGATTCCGTTTCCGCGGGAACAGTGCAAAAACCGCGATGTTGAAATTACAGATGATCCACACAAGTTAGATCCGAGAGATGGAATGCACTAAATAGCGCTGATGAAGCTGGATCAAATGAGTGTAAGCATACGTGGGTGTGAAGAGAGGTGTGTCAGTAAATGCAATTAGAGTACGAGACCGGATTTTTTTACGTCCGCGGGGTGAAGTGATTTTAAACAAGATTTGCTTGATGAAACAAAAAGACTGCGGTATGCTGTGTGCAAGTTGAGGGGCCTGTTTAGTAATCCGATGTCTATGGGATTTATTAAATTGGCCAGAGGGCTATTCAGGATCAGAAGCAGTGCAAAATGTAACGCACATAAGGGCTCGTCAGCATGAATCGATTCTATCGAGTTTCAGGGTGGATGCACAAGTATGCCAATGTTAAATAGTCGGTTTCGATATGATGCCAGCTTGATAGATTAGACGACAGAGCAGTCAAAAAATGGCTAATGATACCAAGATAACTGTGACGTCGTAAACTGGTGAGGGCTTTAATCCATCGCAACTCATATTCATGTGAAGACGAAGCAAGCACGTGCATCTGTCGATGGTGAGATGGTGTGCTTCTCATAAAATCGCACGCTGTCCGAGAGGAACGGATGTTCACGCACTTACTGCATACTTTCCACGAATACGTTCGGAATAACCGAAAGGTATACCAAGCCGTGGTATGCAAAAGCAATAAAAACGCTATAAAGAAGGGGATACTGGTACTCTAACATTAAGTGACTAGCATTAAACTGTTACTCCTTTCACACGAAAACTCGTTTGATTTTTTCCTTCCTCTCGGGAGTGAACTCTCCGTCTAACTTTCCCAATAGTGTTTCAATATTGGGATTCTTATTATCTTGACGCAATTAACAACCATCGGTTGACTACACTTGCCCTAGTTGCATCGGTTAGCAAATTGGACACCAATCTGACTAGTCGCAATCAGAAAAGAAATTTCAATTCGTGATGGATATAGTTTGAACAGAGCTAATCCTGGATAAGTGTCAAAATGAGAAACTTGGAGGAGCAAACCTGTGGGGCACATTTTATGGGGCAAAACCATCCAAAAGTTTGCAAGCCAATCCAGCGGAAACCCGATAGCACGATCAGTAAACTTCAACAAAAAAATTCAGTGCATGCTCCATACCAGTTCAATGGAAATCTTTTTCGGAGGTTACTGCATGCTGGAATTTTAGCCGGCAATATATGTGACATCAGTAAGTGGTTGAATCATTCAGGCTTGTACTCCATAGGTCACAAGCTCGAGTCTGCGTGAGGGCAACGATACAGTATTCCTAAAAAGCACGTGATTGCTAGTGGTCCCGTGACAGTAAAGCAATCCTCATCATCATCATTATACACATTAGCTGGATGTGAAAAACACCTCAGCTATTGTGCCGCAATACAAAAGAAAAGAAAGAAAACATGAGATCTGCCGGCTGAGCCAATAGTAATGGATGGACACTGTTCTGGTGAGCTAGCAGCCAGTTATTGTGCCGCAGTAAAAGGGCGTTATATTATCCCTAATAATTGAGATCGTGGTTAGAGGGGGAGAGACAAAGAAACAACACAAACGCCATTAAGGTCGGCTCCTAGCTATGCCAACAAGTCTATGCAGCCAAACGTGTTCATCGTTCTTCAGTCCCCAACCACGGACCTGAGAGACCCCAACCGAGGCCAACCTCGAAGTAAAAGCCTTCATTCCTCTTGACCAGGTTATAGCTTGGCATAGTAAAGTATCGGTACCACGTAGCTACTGTCACGTAAGTCGATCCATCAAAGACAAATGGTTCAAGCATCGAATGCAAATAGACAAAAATGACATCAATTTCATCCGCTTCGATACACAGTATTGCTGTGGAAGCACAAATAACAGTCTTTGATAGTTAAAACAAACGAGGAGACTCGTAACAGTGCCGCCAAACATCCAATTCAGTGGAACCGCGTAAACAGATGACTGCGTCAAGAGCATTACGGATGCCTTTCTGTTGGACATTATTGAAAGTCTGAACAGCTACAATATAGCTAGCAGAATACGATTGTCTACCGGTCGAAATTATGATCCACTACGATGCCTGTGAACACTGTCAGTTGGAGTCGGAGTGTACGAGTTGCCGCGGAACAGTATAGTAAGAGAGCAACAATAAATTTCAACACGGAGACCATAATACGATAGGAAGATTGACTTGAACAAAGGTTACTGCGGTCAGATGCGGATGACAAAGTCCACTGAACTATCAACGCATGACCACGAGCAAGAAGCATAGTCTGTTGCTCGGACGGGGAGAGCAGAAAGTGTATCTCACAACAGGTGCAATAAAAATTATTCACTCAATAATACACATGCAGATGCAAAAAGCAGATGACGACTGCACGTACCTTGTCCCAGGCATCTCGAAATCGTTCTACAACCCAGTCGCGGTCGTAGCGACCAAGATTGATACCAAGATTCGCGTCCACGGTGAACGGGCCAGTTCCGGTGTTTCCGTCGAAAGCCCCGCCCTTCACGACCCCACGACCTTCTCGTAGGCACTCAACTTGTTCCTTAGATTTAGGTGTAGACATAAATGGAAACGAAAGTGAGTCGTGGACCTCATCATAACAAACTTCGAAGTGGAACAAAATGGTTGAGAACCCGAGAGCAAAAGCCTCAGGAAAGCAAACGGTCATAATCCACAACAAAAAGTAGACGTAGTGGCCGGACACCGAGACATAAATGTAAGAAGAATAAGGCCATGGTAGTAGGCCGGCATACTGTACCGACGCTTCGCTGCCATGTGACTATCATCAGTCGCGCGAGAGCTGTGTATACCGCGAGGTCCCCTGCACCTTACGCGGATTCAAACCGGTGACCTCCCCGGATTACAAGGCAGGCGCGCAATCCTTTGGGCCACCGGCCGACTACATACTATCCCCTCGAGTGAAATAATTTTAAACGTGGGAAGAGTGACGAAATATTAGATCGGGGGGGGGGATGCGGGGGCAAATAAAGCTGATCAAGAAGTGAAAAATACGGGGACAACAAACGATGTTGGCGCACACCAAACTTTGTAGTGCTGCGATAGAACATGCGGAAAGGGAGATATTGGGGATGCCTAAGGAGGAAGTACGAATCCAAAAAATCCCACCACTGGTTAGTGAAAATCTCGGAACTAGTAACTTACAACCGGTATCTTTTGCATTAACTTTGGAATTTCATCTGAAAGCACTGAATCCACGCTTTCCAGCATTTTTGGCCGCAAGACGTTGAATTTCGTGAAATCCATATCATTCAGGGAAGCGCGCATGCGATTGATATCCGGGAAATCACCCAAAGGGATGTGATGTTGGCGCGATATCATGCCATAGATCTGATCCAGGTTCTCGATCAATTCATGCTTCTTCCGTGATTTTCCAATGAAGCTTGGCATCTCTTTGGCCAGGTAACTAATGATGTAGGAATGTACCTGAGCGAATAAGACAGCAAAGGCGTAAATTACCGGTCATATGACGTGAGGCTTGAGCCAAAAGTTACTGGACAGTGAACCCCGTAAAAAGTGAGAGATGCAGAAAATCAGAACCCGACGGATATAGACAGTAGCGTCTTATTTTTAGGTGAACTAAGCCCCCATAGCAGCTTGCCGAGTGAATAGGTGATAACGAGACACATAGCCCGTAGCCTAAAGTTAACAAGCTTGTCTTGTAATCTGGCGGCGCGGGTTCGAACCAACATAGGAGCAGGGCGACCCACGCAGTATCCTTAGCCCGAGTACGACCGGTGGTGATTGTGCGGCAGCGAAGCGTCGGTACTGCTTACCGGCGTACTATTGATGCCTTACGAGACACAAAGCGTTTAGATTATATCAAAAAGAATTATAGGCTCGTCAAATTAAACAGGCGATTCGATCACAAAACCTCCGCAAGGAAAAGTAAAGTCGTCTGATGAACGGCATCAAACAAACCACCGAAGTGAGAGAAAAAGTTCAAGTAGAAAAGTCGGTGACATGCGGTGACTACATCAACAGAATACTCGCAGTTGCATATGGCATCCGTGACTTGCGAACTCTGTGCCTAGGTATGGGTACCCTAAATGCCCGCGTGAAACCGAATGACAGTGCATGATAGATGTGTTGGTAGACCCAAAGTCACAACGGCCATACGAAAGGAACCGAATTTCATTCGGACCGGTCGATATGTAAAAGGTGATCTTGAAACATGAACGGTCCACAACGAAAGGAAGAATAACGTGCTTTCGTGTTAAGATTGCTTTCAGATCCCTAAAATGTACTCTGATGGATGCTGCCATACCGGGTGGGCGTGGCGCAAATGGGATGCGAGGATCAAGCTTAAACATAGGTAAGCAAAGTGTGTCATTTAAAACAAGTGCGAAAAAGTGCAATGCCTTTCTGAATCAGACTAGTCGAAACAAAGCATCGCGGAAATACAAATACATCGTAAATTGCGCCATGTCACTTGGCGGTTGAAGGGTTTGGCCAAAGTTACGGTTTTATCTTTCAGATATCGGTGCTTCTTACGTCCAGCTGACATGCAGAATGACGATGATGATGAAGAGTGCCCAACACCGCGAGCGACAGGTTATGGGAATGCATTCGGAGGCACCAGTCAGCGATTGCGAGGACGCAAACAACAACATAAGCGACATGGTGGTAAATGGGACACAGCACATCACACAATGTGGTGGATAATTAATATGGTCGCCAGTGCCGGCGCTACGTGACCACCAGCAGTGGCATGCGAGCTAAAGATACTGGCGGGGTCATTCGCACCTACGTAGACACGAAGTTGTGGGGGGGGGGCAAGGTGTATGCCAGACATATGAACTACTTGGCCCAATAATAGTACGATAAAGTGTCATCGCTGAGTCAAACGGCATCCTGCATACTACACTCCGAGTTTTAGCCATATGACATGTTCAAAGTAGTTAACCGCTGTCACAGTTGTAATCCTACAATGGGTATGATGAAATTATACCAAAAGTTGCAACTCTGAACACGCTCATCACACTGACTAAATAGGTGGCGAAGGAAATACTTGTACACAAGACTGGAAGCGTTGGTAAATGCTACACACAGCCCACAGCAAGAACCGCCGGGGGTGCTGGAAGTGGGAGCAACATGTTTATCCTGTTTCATGGAATCTTGGAAAAGATTAGAAAAATCACGATACCGAAATTTCTTTTCCCATCACCATTTCGTCCCTTCAGCTCAATGATCGCAAACTTGAGCGTTGCTTGGTCCATCGGATTCAAATCTGGACGAACATGGATCCTTAAACCTTTCAGTTTACTCGGGCGGGACAAAATCAGCCTCGGAATGGCTTTGCCCACAAAGACGATTTTCTATGGCGGACTTTGACGATTGTCTATCTTCCCAATACCAGTAACCTGTCTCACTTTCAATCCATCCTCACTCACATTGAGAAGTCTATCAGGCACTTTAAAAACCTGACATCGTGATCGCAGCGCATCTGTGGAGTTGGATCACTGGACTAAGGCGCATGAAAGATCATGAGATTAAAACGCATCTGGTAAGGTAAGGCGGCTCTTGCAAGGAAGGGGCTATGCTAAGCTTCACATAGTTGGGCCTGCCGTTGAGCTACAGATGTTGAACCCTTTTCATTCTCCTGCATTTTGATTCGTACTTCCGACGACTCTTCAGCACACATGTCTTCACACGCTGGGACACCTGTACCTGCAGGATATAACACAACTAAAAGATTCGTGATAGGTGAAACTGGGCTGCCTGCAACAACGGAACTTCGTACCAGCGAGTTTGCCCTGGAAGAGCAAGAAGTACATCAGAAATCTGGGGACGCTTCGAGCTATTTTGTTGGGTCAAACACAGGGAGCTGCTCCCAACGGAATGACAGCCTACACGGCAACGTGTGATTCAACTCTACTGACTACAACTGTATTTTCAACTGGACACTACCACTACGTGACAGCTAAGGTACTTCGCCAACATCCACCTTCATCTACAGTTTAGATACTACGCTGTTATAGTATGGAGCTGCAAATACGTAGGTGTAGAAAGTGTATTTCGCGTTTGGTTGAGTCAGTAAACGGAATATTGATATCGGCCAATCCCTTTTCTGTCTCGGTGTAGTCGTGCGAGAATGCACGTTTCGTCTCCAGTCTTAGCTCGCGTGTACAACGTCTGACGGCTAGGTCACTTGAGCCGTATCGAGACAAACTCAGTTGGCTGATCTGTGCGTTGGGCACTATCGGTGAAAGCGCTTCGTCCGCTCCCACTAGAACGGTTACAATTTTTTTGTTAATTTGGTATCCACGAGCGCTAATCAGCCTATGAAGAACCACAAAGGTAAGTAACTTAGTGGTGACGAAGATCAAACTGATCGCTCTATGAATGGAAGATCATGAACGAGAGTTTCTTTGAAAATGGGGACTAAAACAGAGGTATTCGTCAGTTGGCACAGCTTCCTGTTCGCAGTTTCACTGAAATAAACACCTACAAGAGCTGATCCCCCGAACTTAAAGAAACGAGCTAGTCCATTTGGTCATGTGTGCTTATACGATTTCAATGGTCCGATCTCACGTTAGATTTCTGCGTGCGAGGGTGAACTCAAAGAGACGGCCCAACGCATCAGGGTGATAAGTGACCGATAAGTAGGCTGGCAACTCTGGATAATTAGATTACTTTTGACAGGTTGTATATAGTTTCCCTAACGTCTGGTATATCGTGTGGGAGGGAACTCTTTCCGATGGTCACCGGCGGTAGAGGCCATCTCCATTGATGCACGATGACAGCATCAGGATTCGCTGTCGCTCTTCTGAGCATTCCCAGTGCACATTAACATCAGTAATAATGAAGTTTGAGGAGGGATTTTGCAGTCAGATTCTGCCGATGTCTATGCCGCATGACTGCAATGCACAGGCTTTGATAACACTAATACGTCCCTCGTATGTCCACTAAGCGAATGCTCCGCTGTGGCCAAAGTAGGCTAAGGTTATGCCGTCAGCTGGCAAGATAATGGCATGTTTTTTGGATGCCCGAGGTGTGATGACTGATTTCCATGAAAGAGGTCATAGTATCACCGAAAGGCACTACTGAGTACTGAATGCTGGTTGGAAGAAGCAAAATGAGATATCTCTGTGTAGTTGCATCTAAGATCACTCAGGTACAAAAACCCGTTATGTTGGAGTACGTTCGACATATTTTATATCGGCAAAGTGTTGGTCCAGGAAGTTGTTGAATTCTAACACTGACTGCCTCAATTAAGTGTCGCGGCAGATTGTTTCATACATACATCAAGCCCCGTTGGAAACAGTTAGTGGGCGAACCGCTTCAAATTCGGTACTACAAGCTTGTACCGGTGTCCTCGTGTGCCTCTTAGTGTGCGCATATGCAGCAGTGGCTTCAACATACTAGCCGGTGTGTCATGGTGAGGATAACCTGCAATCGACGATAAGGTGTGAGGTTCTGAAACGTCTCAGAGAAAAAATTCGAGAAAAAAGTCAGGAATGCGAAAGTGAGAAATCATTTTCCACAATGGCAACGCTCCGGTCCGTACCTCTTCAACTGCCCAGAAAACAACCCATGATTATGGATCCCAGCTTTCTTTTCAACCACCATATTAAAGCTAGTCTTCCCTAACTTCTACCTATTTTCAAGCTTGAAAAAATCGTTATCCGGATAACATTCTCGTAAGGACAGTGACGCATAGGAATTTTTAGAGTCATAAGCTGAAGAGTTCTTTTCCCTTGGAAAATGGCACTTTGCACCGCTGGAACAAACGGGTTATGCTTGAGAGTGATTACGTTGAAAAATAAAGAAGGGCATCAGCAGTACGCCGGTACGCAGTACCGACGCTTCGCTGCTGCGCAACCACCACCTGTCGCACGCGGGCTAAGGATACTGCGAGGGTCACCCGGTCCCTAAGCCACTAAGCGGGCCGAAGCTACTCTGATATGCAGAATCCCAGTCAATAGCCGGTGTGACACCCGAATAGCTGGATTGTTCGAGATTCGAAGTTGCGCGGAAACAAGAAGTGCCTGTTTGTCATTTAGCTCGGCAGAACAATGAAAATCCGAGAACCGAATTGTAGTAGATTTAGTTATCACTACCCACGTATCCAGAATAACAATAAATATCAACGATAAGAAAATGAGACTGGATGCTAATAGAATGTGAAGAAAATGGAATAAGGGGAAAATGCGTTTAACACATCAAGATGGAATGAAAATTAGTAACTAGCTGAACAGAAACCGAATGTAAGAATGTCATTGACTGCGGCATGGCTAATAGGACCTGCAACCACTGATTCGGACCATTCCGAGGCAGCTTAGCTCATAGATTGTGAGAAAATACGTGAGCAATGAGCGGATTTGGCATGTTAACTAGGGCGCAGAAAACCTAATGAACCACTCAGCAAGATTATTTCAGGCACCAAGCTCCGATAGCTGGAGCATGCGTTACGCATGTCCGCA